GAATGTGCTGTTGAGATGCTGTTGATACCATGGTAGATCAGGAAGCAGAGTAAGAGGATCGCCAATCTTCTTGCTTTCTCCTTCCTTATTTGTATCCCATGCTGCTCCTGGTATGTGGCATGGTCCTCCCTCATTCAGGACAGGTCTGCTCCCCTTGGTTAATCCTGTCTGGAAACACTCTCACAGGTACGTACAAAGGTAGGCTTTGCTCATGCCTTAATTCTTCCTTTTGTTTTTAATGCCTGTGTCCAGGGGTGTGTGTGTGTGTGTGTGTGTGTGTGTGTGTGTGTGTGTGTGTGTGTTTGTGTGCCTGTGTGTGCACAGGTATGTGGAGACCAGAGGTCATATTCACGTCTCATCCTCAGACATGCTATCTGCTCTCACTGACATTGAACTCAACTAAACCATGAGACGGTGACTCCTCTTCCCTCCTCCTCCTCCTCTTCCTTCTCCTCCTCCTCCTCCCCCCCTCTTCCTCCTCTTCCTCCTCTTCCTCTTCTTCCTCCTCTTCTTCTCTTTCCTCCTCTTCTCCTTTTCCTCCTTTGTCTTCTTTGCCTGCCCAGTGCTGGTAACACAGCTGCTCACCACCATGCCCTGGCATTCTCACATGAGTTCTGAAGCTCAAATTTAGGTCCTCATGTTTGCAAGGCAAGCATGTTACAGACTGAGCGGTCACTCCACTCCCTAGTCCTTTCTTTACCCCAGTTGACTTGGCAGTGCAGATGACTGTCATCACCACTAACACCATGATGACTACCTTTCTGCCTTATTTAACTCATCCTTCAGAATCTTTTCCCAAGACTTTACAACTTTTCTATGTCTCTTCTGCACAGAAACTGCCTCCATGGCTGTCTTATCTGTACTCTGCATCAGTTTGTTTCCTGGGGCTTCCAATCTTGTTGTCTAACCAGTTCTCCTGGTTAGTTGTTAAGCTTGCCTGTCTCACAGAGGGATTGTCAACTGTTAGTCTCTATTGTCAACTGTTAGGGTGCACTGTGAGGGTCCCGGACAGTAGCAGTAACTTTGATCTTTCCCAAAGGCCTGAAACCAGCCTGACCCTGTAATACCAGCTAGCAGGGAGAGCGAAGTACCTAAGCAAACAGACACAAGCCCTGCTTTTATCAACACAAATACTTTTGCCCTCATCTCCTAGCACACCAAGATCAAGTTCCCCAAATTCCATTTAATTTCCTTGGCTTCTGTATTGAGTTACAACTGGGCCACAAGAGATCTTGGCACCAAAAGCCTGCAAGGAAAAGGCTGCTTGATTGAACTTTATTGCTCAGTTCTGCAGACATTTTAGGTTCAGATAAGGGTGTGGGTGGCCCGTTAATTCTTTCTTCATGTTGCTCTGAAGTGAACCTAAACTCTGTCACACTCTGAGATTCCCTGCTGTAACTGTAGCAACAACCAGCAGCCATCCCGAGTCCGTGCCAAGCTTTCCTGAGAGCTGTCTCTTCTCACTGTCTTTCTTCCAGCTATGTACGCCCTTCTGTAAGAAAAATGGTTCCAGCATGTTTGAAGACTGTAGTCCCTAGGTAGCTGCTTGGAGGGATAGTGTGCATGATCTGGTTGTTCACATTCAAAGATGAGAAAAAGTTTTGAATCTTACTCTTAAGCAACATTTCGCTACAGGGGTTTCAGTGAGAGCTGTGTGCGTAGTTTCTTTCCTGTTGCATGTAGTTTTTGCTACCCTGCTTTATGCTCCGGGCAGACTGCTACCAGCCTCGCCCTGCCTTATTGGCTCAATTGCTGGCGCTTCTAATCTCCCGGGGGTAGCGTGCCCTTCCCAATACTCTTAGCTCAGCACCCTAAATCTGTCCTCAACTTTAGTTACTCAGTTACCTTCTCTTTGTTCAGCAACCCCAAACTGTCCCTAGCTTAGATGCGTTTCTAATCTGCCTGGGGAAATGGTATATGGCGCCATCCAAGATCTCATATGGCTGGTCACCTTTTCTCCCTCCAAAGCACGGTAAATCTCCCTTCTTCTCTTTGTATCTCTTAGCCTGCCTGTGGGAACCTGGAAGTCTTGCCTCTTTCCTTCCACCCAGCAATTGGCCCTTGGAATCTTTATTGATTGATCAAGAACCAATTGGGAAACAGGACGTTAGCATCAGAACCAACCCCTACACTTTCCTAATTTATACAGCCTTGAGTCACCTGAGATAAAAGCCTCCACTGAGTAATTGCCTAGATCAGATTGGCCTTTGGGTGTACTAGTGGGGCATCAAGTGGCCCAGCCCACTGTGTGGTCCAGCCCACTGTGGGCAGTCATTCCCTTACAAATTGGTCTTGATCTGTATAAAAAAGCAAACTCACCATGAGCTCAAAAACAAGCCAGGAAGCAGTGCTCTCCTGTGGCTTCTGCTTAAAGTTCTTGCTTGGGTTCCTTCCCTTAACGATGGGCTGAGACCTGGCAGTGTAATCCTTTCTTACCCTGAATTGCTTTTGATCTTGTATCATAATAACAAAGAAACCTAGAACATTCAGGTAACTGTATGCTTTCTGTTGTGCTGTGTGTGCATATATATATATTTATGAGTGTGTTTGTGTGTGTGCGCGCGCGCGCGTATGCCAGTTTAAAAAGCTCTATGAAGTAGGAGAATATACTTGCTATTCTTAATTCTGTAGTCCTAGCACATATCTGATACATAGTAACCACCCGGTAAATATATTGTTAAGAGGAATGGATACCTATCTGTCTTATTTTATCCAATAAAGCCACACCTACTCGAACAAAGGCACACCTCCTAATATTGCCATCCCCCTCTATGAGCATAGGGGCCATTTTCATTTAAATCACCACAGACATTTCCAGACAGACTATTAAGATAGAACAGCGAGGTTGTGGAGCAGGTGTTTGATAGACCTGAGTGCTAATATCTGTGTCATGATTTATTCTGTGTGACCTTGCTAGCTTTTTCCTCCCCTTTTAGTGGACTTTCTATCTGCAACACAGATTTTTAAAATGGGGAAGTAATGCAATGGTTCCCACGTTCATTGACATCAATGATGTTCATGACACTGAATAAAGCATCCAGTCATGTATTAGCATGCAGCAGACACTCAACTAGTTATCAGAAGACTGTGTGTGTATCTGTGTCTATGTGTGTATATACATCAGTGTATGTATGTATGCATAGCGTATGCATGTATGTTCATATATGTGTTTCTGTGCATGCATGTGTAGAGGCCGAGGGCTGTTCTTGGCGTCCTCCTCTATTGGTCTGCGTCTTGCTTTTCCAGACAGGAAGAAGAGGAAGAAGGACGTGCTGAGTTACCTTCCCAGCCCCTAGGAGATTTTTTTTTTCTCACTCTTCTGTTTCCTAAGAGCCAGGCTCGAGGAAAGAAACAGATGTTTCGAGGGGGAGCATGGATAATGGTAAAGAGACTAGAGAGGGGTGATAACAATTCTTACAGATTTAAACTTTTATCTGTGATGAGTCACATTGATGAATATTGCTTGACTGTCACTTAGAACTAGGAATGGGTGAAAAGTGGCTCTTTTTACTGGTATCATTTGGACTTTGTATAGAGCCTTTGTGAAGATTTGAAAAGGTATCAGCATCAGGGGCTTGGCCACCAGACTGTGTCTTTGGGCACTTTCGAAAAGGAAGCATTTCCTTCAGACAGCTGCCACTGTGAGCCCAGGTATGCTCTTTAGTCCCTACTGGTACTCCAGCCGTGTGTCCCTGGAAGATGAGTCTGCCAACTCACCAGCTACAATGTGTAGTAAACTTGGGCTGAGCTGTTGAAGGTGGTAGAAATGTGTGGAGGAGTCTTGCTAATTAAACCAGAAGACCAAGTTCAAATGCAAGGAGCATATTAGCAGGGCAGTTGTGGTTCAGTGTCTCCTGTAAGGTCATGGTCCACATGTTTGTGACCCAATGGATGCAACTCAGTAATCAAGGGAATAGCAGAGTTGGTGATCATCCCAACAGATACAGGGAAAACATTAGACAAATAAACACACTTTCCTGATCAAGTAGTGAGCAAACCAGAACTAGATGGGAACTTCCTCAATAAGGTACAAGGAATCTCTGAAAACCCAGGGCTAGCATCACATTAAGAGAAGAGACTGGATGGTTCCTCAGAAGGTCAGACACATGACAAGCATGCTGTCCTGGCTCTTCTGAGCTCAGCTTCTATTAGTGGACCTAGTTAGGACAATCAGACAGGAACTAGATCAGAAAGAGAGGAAAATCATCTCTATTCACAGAGGAAATGATCTTTTATACAAAAAAGTATTAAGGAAAACCAGTTGTCATGGTCTAGCCCTATAAGCTCAGCAGTAGGAAAGCTGAGTCTGGAGTATTGCAGTGAGTGCAAGGCCAGCCTGAGTTACATAGTGCATACCAGGCTAACGCAGCAAGACCCTGTGTCTTAGTTACGGTTTTACTGCTGTGAACAGACACCATGACCAAGGCAACTCTTATAAAGACAACATTTAAATGGAGCTGGCTTACAGGCTCAGAGGTTCAGTCCATTATCATCAACGCAGGAGCATGGCAGCATCAAGGTAACGCATGGTACAGGAGGGGCTCAGAGTTCTACATCTTCATCTGAAGGCCACCAGAAGACTGCTTCCCACATGTTAGGAGGCGAATCTCATTGCCCACCCCCACAGTGACACGCTTCCTTCAACAAGGTCACACCTACTCCAACAAGGCCACACCTACTAACAGTGCTACTCCCTGGGCCAAGCATATTCAAACCACCACACCCTGCTTCAAAAACCAAAGAAAAACAAGAGAAATCCCCACAAAACCAACAAGCATGATAGTACATGCCTATAATCTCAGCACTAGGGGGACAGAAGTAGGAAGGTCAGAAGTTGAAGACTAGCCTGGGATACACGAGGTACTATTTCCAACAACAAAATAAAAAACAATAAACAATAAAACCCCAGAAAACTTTTAATAAATCCACCAACCAACCAAACCGAACAATTAAGATCCGACAAATGAGTTCAACAAGATCAACAAACAAAAACTCATCATATAATGTGTTTTTGCTTTAAAATTATTTATTGGACAATAACCAAACAGAATTAACACAAGCAACTTCCAGATTAGCCATTCTTGCTCAGGACTGCAGTTGGGCTCATGCTAAGCCAGCCCACGCAGAGGGGTCTTCCTGATTGCTTTTTAACGGAGCTCTGCTCTTTAATAGAGCCGTAAGACACAGATACATGTCCAGCTATATGTCTAGGATTGCCCAGATACAAAGTCTCTGGTTGTGTTGGTGGGAAACAGGACCTTAAAACGTGTCCGAGAAGACGGAGCCACTGTGCACAGCTCCTGATTCAGGACAGAGGCAGAGTCATCACATCAGTGTCTTCTTAATGGCTGATACTTGCTTTCTTCCTGTAGGTCTGGTCTTTTCACTTGGATTTTGCCTTCTTTTTTTTTTTCAGAATTATTACTCTTTTAACAACAATATAACAAGCCCATCACTATCCGCCAGATGGAGCTTAAATTCGATCTAAACAAACTGGGTGAAACTATTTGAAATCTTTAGGGCAAGCAGCGAGAAAAAGTCACAGCCCTACAACACCTCAAGAATCCCTTACACAGGTGGGAACGGGAAAAGGAAAGACATGCCACGCATTGTTGAACCTGATAAATAGTATGGCACATGTGGCCATGACCATCAAGTGGTTCTCCTATTTCCCAGACAGCTGTTTGTACAGCTTGGGTACGTAGTTGTCCCATTCTGCTTGGTAACACGTGCCGGCCACCGGGGGTCCCAGGTGATACTTCTTGCGGAAGGCTGCAGTTTTGAACTTCCCACGATGGTCTCCAGATCGGTTGGTGAGGATGGGTTCGTCACATTTCAGTGGCTTGTCTTGTTGATACACCAGCCAGACATAACGATGGAGGCCACTGCCCTTGGGAGGCCCGGAACCCACGTAATCCGAGAGGACCTTCCCACTGCTGATGTCGTTGCCTTTCATGTTGACCACCAGAAAATGGTGCCATTCCCTGTACATGGGTTCCTTCCTACTGGGAGCATCTGGGTCTGTGAGGACCAAGGTATAGAGTTTTCCTGGGTCAAGGCCATCCCAGGAAATGCTGCTGGGTCTGTTCCTAACCTGGGTGGGTGTCAGTACTTGGCCCAGCTCCCCCACCTCCGCCCCGGGGTAGGTGACCCGCAGTAGATGCTGGGGCTGCTCATCCACATCCTGTAGGCTCAGCGGCCCGGCCCACACGCTAAGGTCTGTAGGCATGGCGAGAGGCTGGAGCGGCGGTTGGGTGCTGGAAGGCGCGCGCTCGCTGCGCTGCACGGAGAACTGCTTGGTGACCACGTAAGTTCTGCAGCCGCGAGAGCACACACTTCCGTATTCTTATATACCTCAATGTGTGATCCCAAAATTCACTTTTTTTTAGTGTTAAAATTAAAATACTCAAGAACAAATTTTTACCAGAAAGTTATGAAAACCGTAGTTTGAAAAGTTCAAGACGTTGTTGAAAGATACTGAACAGGCTCTCAATAAATAAATAGAAATCACTCCATATTTGTGGATGAGATTTAGGAATTAACAAGAAATTAATATCCTCTAAGATAGTGTGTAGATTCAATGAAAGTCCTGTCCAAGTTGCAGCGTCTTTGTAGAAACTGCTGAGTTTAAAATTCGTAAAGGTGGATATTTGCAAGGAGCCAGAATAGTCAAAGCTATCTCAGAAAAAAGAAAGCTGGAAGATGCCCACGCTTTCTAGTTTAAAGTGAGCACAAACAATAGCAATGGACACAGTGCAGACTCTCATACATGTAGTAGAACCCCCACCCCTCGTAACATCTACATTAAATAATTTTTTAAAAAAAGTACTTAAAAAAATAAAAAATCCAGGGGCTGGAGAGATGGCTCAGTGGTTAAGAGCATGAACTGCTCTTCCAGAGGTCCTGAGTTCAATTCCCAGCAACCACATGGTGGCTCACAACCATCTGTAATGGGATCTGATGCCCTCTTCTGGTGTGTCTGAAGACAGTGACAATGTACTCATATACATAAAATAAATAAAATTTAAAAAAAAAAAAAAAAAAAATAAAAAATCCAATATATAAAGTGGATTTTAAACATCTTTTCAGATCATATATTTGGTAGACATTTTATATCTCGAGTCTATAAAGAATATTCACAATTTAATGATACATTTCAACTAACCTAAGCAATGGGTCAAGGCTTTGAGCAGGCATTTCTCTTAAGACACACAAACTAGCCGGGCAGTGGTGGTGCATGTCTTTAATCCCAGCACTTGGGAGGCAGAGGAAGGCGGATTTCTGAGTTCCAGGCCAGCCTGGTCTACAGAGTGAGTTCCAGGACAGCCCGGGCTATACAAGAGAAACCCTGTCTCAAAAAACCAAAAAACCAAAAACAAACAAACAAACAAACAAAGAAGATACACAAACAGCCAAGAGCACGTGAAGAGATGGAGAGATGCCAGGCATTTGTAGGTCATCAGGAAAGAACAAATCAGTATCATATCCACCCCGGGTGGTCAGAACGAAAGGAGTCAAATACAACAAGTACTGTTGGGTACATGGAAAAACAGAAGCCCTCACAGACCTGGGGGAGATGGGAAATGCTACTGTTAGCTCGTCAAGTGCCTGCCCATAAAAGTTACATTACCACCCAGCACCAGTTCCTGGATATATACCCAAGAGAAGTCAGAATAAATGCCCACATAAAAACCTGTATATCACTGTTTATAGTAACAGTATTCACAATAGCCCAAAGTTGGAAGCAACCCAATGTCCATGAATGGACAAGCAAAATGCACATATAAACAACGGGAACAGAGTTCTGCTCAGCCATAAAAGGAAACGAGGTTCTGACACACGCTATAACATGGGTGGATTTTGAAAGCATAATGGTAAATACCTATCAGTCAGAAACTACTACTCCCTGGGCCAATGAAAAGACTCAGTGGGTGAAGGTGCTTTCCAGACAAACCTGGTGACCCTGGCTTGTCCCCAGAGCCCACATAGAGTCGAAAGAGGATGGAGGTTGATAAAGCTGTCCTCTGATCCCTAATCACACTGGCAGTACGCCCCTGCCTCCTTGAATTACGCACATAAACATACAATAATAGATACATTGAAAAGAAAAAAAACTCTTCTAAATGAATCCGCTTCTTTAAAATATCTCTAAGCGGCAAATCGACAGAGAGGAATCTAGAAGTCGTTCGGTGGTTGCGTTGTAAAGCAGGCTGGGGAGGTGAGGAGCTGACAGCTAAAGGGCACCGGATTTCTTTCCCCACGAAGAAAATACTCTCAGTTTGAAGGTGTTGATGACTTCCGTGTATCTGCGACTGTTCTACAAAGCCACCAGACTGTACCTTTTAAGTGGTTGAATTATATGGCATGTGAATTATATTTCAATAATGACATTATGTCAGACAAGCAAAAAAACAAAAAACAAAAAACCAAAAGATATTGGCAGTGACTGCAGTTATCTGAAGACTCCCTGGGGGAATGGGAGATCTTTTTTCTAGCTATTCTTGCCTGTTGTCACTATGTGGGCTTCTCCATGGGGACTTGAACATACTTACAGACAGCAGCTATCTTGGCCAGAGATAGCCTCAAGACAGAATGAGGTGAGGGTCACAATGTCCAAGACAGCCTAACCCTGGAGACGGCACCTGCTGTTCTTGCAGAGTCTATTGGTTACACAGGTCAGTCTTACTCACTGTGGAGTGGCTCGCCAAGGGCGAGAACACCAAGGATGGCAATCCTTTGGAACCAGTTAGAGACTGGCTAGCACCAGCCTGCAGGAAGCTTTTATTATGAACTGGTGCATTAAGAATTCGACACTTGGTAAATGTTAACCTGCTAGGTAAATACTAAATATGCATTTTAAGGTTGACCTAGATCGAGGAAAATGAGATGTGGCTTACTCGTACTTACTGTGTTATTCACTCAGACCTCTCACAGAGTCATCCAGGCTCCTTCAGTATCACAAGTACTGTCACTCATTTTGAGGACCATGCTAGCATCCTAGCTCTTCTCTACCTCCTCTTCTACCCAAACGTCCCCAGATCAGAGGCTCCCCTCCCCTCAGCTACTCCTTATAACTCTGCTATTTCTGTGATAGTCTCTCTCTGTCTCTATCTCTCCCCCTTTCTCTCTGTCTTTCTCCTCCCTGTCTCTGCTATCCTACATACCCTCTAGTCAGTCTTCTCCCCCCTCCCTCTCCCTCTCTCCCCTTTCCTTCACCGCCCCCCTCTCGTGCTCCTGCTTCTCTCATGGCCTGGTCCAGCCCTCTGTCTATGTTCAGTCTACTGTTCACTCTACTTCTTTCTCTCTCTGCCCTGGACTCTTTCCGATACCTCTGGCTGCTCTCTCTCACATCTACAATAAAAACCTTCCCCTTAACCAAACTGTGGGACAGTAATACTATTGGTTTATGTACTTCCTTCCACCATGTGTGCCCTAGGGGATGACCTCAGGTTATTGGACTTTATGGGAAACACCTTTACTGGTTGAGCCATCTTACTAGCCCTCTTGAGGTATATTTGTGAGACTGTGATTGCGTCTCTATTGGCATTTAGGTGACAGGAAGAAAAGCAAATACGAGGGGGAATCCTGTCACTGTAGAGTTTACCAGGTGAAAGATCCAGAGGTCTTTGGTCTTTTGGACTTTCTTGTGAAGTCAACATGGCTTTATCTCCTCACAGCTGTAAGGTATGCTACAGAACTAACACAGGGAAGGGCAAACAAGCTCCGGATGGACGTGCAGGGTGAGTCCAGGGAGAGGCATTTTACACCCCCACGTGCCTGGCTGTGCTTCAGGCCAGCCCCAGGGGTGCGGTTTCAGACAGGATGGAGATGAGGGTGTGGTCGCCAGATGTCTGTGATCCACCAGCTCCCTGTCCTTTCGGTCACCTCTCCCTCCCATTCGGATGGCTTAGAAACAGAGCGCCCCAAACCTCTAGAGGACAGCCTGGAAGGCCACATCAGATGCTTCCTGGCTTCTTTTGCATAGGATTTTCTCATGGGCAGCCTGTAGAGTTCAGCACAGTTGTAAGCACAGCTTTCGGACATCTAGGATTTTTTTTTTTAACTTGGCCATGCATTTCCACTTAACTTTCTAAGTCTGGTACATCATCTCCGGGGGACCCTCAGGAAGTGTCTGCACTCATTTGGCCCCAGGTGATTCACACAGCTGTGTAAGGTATTTCATGCTTTATAAATTGTTTAGCTGATCAAGACCAGCAAAATGACAATGCCCGTAGACACGCCAGTGCAGACAAGGCAGATCCCACCTGGTCCCATCCCAAGATGGCCAATGGCTGGCAAGAGAGAGAGAGAGAGAGAGAGAGAGAGAGAGAGAGAGAGAGAGAGA